ACCTGTGGTGGGTCTGAAGGAAGAAGGGGGAAACGGCCTAGCACCCCAGGCACCGACGCCGGGTTCCTCTGCCTCTGCCACCCGAGCAGGACTCCTTCCTTGCCGATGAGAAGGGAATCTTCCTGCTTTCCTCAGTCCTGGCTTTCATGTGTTCTGGCTTTGAGAGATGAGTCTCTGGGAGATCCTCTCCGTTCATTCAGTGTTGAACACTTGCAATCCCAGAACTGAGGAGGAAGAGGCAAGAGGATGATGGTGAGTTTGAAGCCAGTTCAAGCTACATAGAGAGATCCGATTTGAAACACAGAAAATCTCTACGCGTAGCTAAGTGGTAGAGAACCTGTGTGCATGGTGCACTGGACTGAGAGCCCAGCAGGAAGAAAGAAAGAAGAAAAGAGAGAGAGAGGAAGAAAACAAAGAAAGAAACCTTCCACCATACAGGCTAGAGAAAATGCCAAACACTTTCAAAAGTTTGCATTCTTTACACCAAAGAGCTCTGGAACCCACAACCCAATCACGAAGGGGCTCACCTCAAACCTCCTTGAGCATCAGAACAGTGAAGGGTGAGCCACACCTGATCTGAGGAAATGCTGCAGTTTGTGTAAAGGACAGCTAAGCACTAGGGAGCAGACTGAGAAGTGTGAGAAGCAGTGGAAAGGGTCGTCTGGTCCCCACAGCACTAAAGGAGATGTAGAATACGCTCCCAGAATTAGGGCACTTCAGACCATACGAATTATTCATAATGAAGTTGACCCACTCTAAATATAAACTCCCTTCTTTAAAAAGCTCCAAGCCAAAGTTTGATGCAGTGTATTAAAAAAAAAATTGATCTCTAGGGACAGGGACTGGTCGATAGCATTTTAACTTCAGTGGGTGGCCAGAGTTGAAATCCTCTTCCCTCAATTCTCAGTAGACACTGTTACACGCTGGCACTGTGCTCCCAACACATCTGTCAGTGTGAGACTGGACCATAGCTCCGGTTAACCCCAGAAACCGGCTCTTCTTAAGAGTCTATCAGATATTCAATGTAAATTTGCTTTTTATTTAAGCCAGCTAATCATTTTTAAAATTACACCTAAGGACCTTGGCCCACACAAAGAGTAGCATCTCTGATGCTGAAACAGAAGTTCTCTTCTCTAGCTGTGGTTTATCAATTTCTCCAATAATGTTTGACATCGCTGACCTGTTACATCTTTCCTAAGGCCTGTCCAGACATTGGGCATTTTGTTACCATCCCAAAACTCAAGGTCCCAGCCACTCCCTTTCTCATTCCTCCTTCCGTGGTGTCTAATCTTCCCAACTCAAGATGACCTCATTTAATTCTGGGATGGAGGTGGACCTATCTCCAGCCCCATCTCTCCCTCTGACACTCAATACCTTCATATCTGGCATCTAGGCAGACACAGCATCTGCTGTGGGACATCTCACAGTGGATTACTCAGACTTTCCGTCACTGGGACAAACACCTGAGCAAAACACCTGCAGGGGGGAAAGATTGGTTTTGGCACACAGAGGTTTCAGTCCTTCATGACAAGGAGGGTGTGACAAAGTAGAGCCACTGACACCTTAATGGCTAGGAAACAGACAGAGAAATTCTTGCAGATCCCCCTGGAAGGTTTTGTTTGAAGGCAACCCCAAACTCATAGACGTTGCCGGCCTTCCTAGGCTTTCCTTTGAAATCTGGGTGGAACCCATAATGATTCTGTAAGCTCTCTGTTGCCTATTCTCCAAAATCAGCATCGCGTGGATGAAGCTGAGATCTATGCCGAGATCTGGGCGTGCCGGGGATTTAAGTCACACATGGAGATCAGCCAGTGACTAGTGTGAGAAGATGGGAGCTGGCTCTCGTGCCCTGAGTTAATTCACACTGACTTGTGACAGTGTTGACATGTGATCTGACTCCAGAGCAATCTGTTTTGTTGGTATTTACCTAAAATTTCACTCTTGCCTTGTGCCTTCTTCGTCCGGGATCTCAATTCTCTTACTGGAGTCTTGATTATTCAGTTACTCAGTGGCCCCCCCCCCTTAGAGGTCTCAACTAAAACCTTCAGATTCCCATCCTCTATGAACCTGGCCATCATCTCGAAGTGGCTGAGACCTCTTCAACCACAGATATTGCCGGTGGCTTCCCTTTCTAGACTGCGTTATCCTGCAGGTTCTGGGAATGATATTCCTCCTCCTGCTTCCTTTGGACTAGAGATATAAGCTGTCTGTTGGTGCTGTTGCTTGGGCACTGATCTCTTAGCCTTAGCAATATATCCCAAGGGGCTAATGGGGGAGAAGTAAGGGTGATGAATGTGGGGATGGGAAGTATCCCCATAGGTTCATGTGTTTGAACACTTGGTCCTCAACCAGCGGCACTGGTTTGGAAGGTGGGGCCTTGTTGGAGGATGTACATCAGTGAGTGAGCTTTGAGGTTTTATAGTCTGGCTCCACTCAGCTTCTTCCCAACTGCAGGTGACATGCGACCAGCTGGCTGTTAAACAGAATCCTTCTCTATTAAGCTGGTTTCATCTGAGTATTTTATCACAGCCACAGATAGGAAACTGACCTGGGAAAGCAGGTGTGGGGCTGCCACAGTCTTCCTGCCTGGCTTGGGCACTGGCTCAAAGCAGGGCATGTAGTTTATGGCCTTCGTATAAATGAATGGAATTCAACAGAACAGCTGAGGCTGGAGGTTTGCTAAGGTCTCACACTTGGGTTAAGGATGTATACTTGAAGGCACAATCTGCATTCAATCTTAAAGTTTTATTACAGTGTGAAGCAAAACTAGCTTATTTTCACATTGAAGCAAGTATTTCTTGGTAGTTGCTATGAAGGTAAGTGACAGCAAGTTTTTGATTTGTACATTCAGGTTGGTGAGAATAACTGAAGGGATGTTCCAGGGGCATAGTGCCAGAGATCTGATCTCAAGGCATATGTAATAGGATTAGAATATTTTCATCTCCAGCTTCCATTTGTTTGTGAATTCCTTCACCTTATGTCAGCATGCGAAGCTATCAGTAGTTGAATTCTAGTTAATTAAAATTTGGTGCCAGTGACAACTGGATCTGGTAAAATTCTTTCAACTGTATTTCAGCCAAGATCTTAAGCCTTTGTGCCCCAAAGCTCATGCCCAGCTCCCAAATCCTTAGTGACAGACAAGTCACCCGTTTTCCCGAGTGCCGGCTGAACTGGGTGCTAACTGTTTCGAAGGCTGTCATCTACCTGGGCTGTTTGAGAATGTTTCCTAATTGAGCATGGATCCCCAGATGCTACGGCTTTGTCTTTCATTTTCTCTACCTCTTTGTTTTTCTCTAAATAGCCTAAATGCTCTACAATTACACCATGAAGATAGTGCTTCTGATGTATATTCTAATCAAATGCCCCAAAGACAGCGTGTGTGTGTGTGTGTGTGTGTGTGTTCTCGTGAATGTGCATACATATCAAGTCTAGATATATCAAATCTAGAGGGCAACCTCATGTGCTGGTCAACAGACACTGTCCAACTTGGGTTTTGTTTATTTATGTTTAGAATATTTTAAAAGATTTATTGGCATTTATGTTTCATTGACGTGTATATGAAAGGGTGAATGTATGTGTGCCACATGGCCAGTGGCCACGGCCAGAAGAGGGCACTGGATCTGAGCTGGAGTTGCAATTGGAAGCTGCCTGACATGAGTGCTGGAACCAGAACTCTGGTCCTCTGGAAAAGCAAGCGGTGTTCATAGCTGCTAAGCCATGTCTCCTGAACTCATTAGTGGGCAAATCTGGCTGGCCACTGAGCCCCAGGGACCTGCTCTGCCTCTCTTTGTCTCCTTAGCACAAGAATTACAAGCGTGTGTCCACATGCTCAGATTGTTTTTGTGTAGATTCTGGAATCCATCACAATCTACAAGAAATTCACAAAATCTACAAAAACAAAATCGGGTCCTCGCCCTCGCAAGGCAAGCACTTTCCTGACGGAGCTATCTTCCCAGCTCATTTGAGAGCTGCATAGGGAGACAGTTTAGGGGTCTCTGTGGCCTCAGTCTGTCCAGACTAGAGTGATGTGGACAGAGGTGCTGCTCTTCCACCTGACAGAATTCTGCTTGAAGAGGAACGCAGCATGAGAAATGAGCTCCGGGCATTTGCTCCTGTACTAATCTTTCTGTTGCTGTGATACAACATCATGGCCAAAGCAGCTTAGAAATGGAAGGCTTACTTTGAGTGTCCAGTTCCGGAGGGATACCTGTCCATCACTATGACACTGGAGGAGGGAGCTCCCATCTTGATCCACAAACAGGAAGCAGAGTGACCTCATGAGGACAGTCTTTTGAAACTTCAAACCCCCGACCCCAGTGACATACCTCCTCCAGCAAGGCCACACCTCCAAAGGCTCCTCAAAGAGCCATGGACTGGGGTCCAAGTCTTCAAACGCCCAGACTGGGGACATCGCATTCTAACCAGTGCAGCCCTCTCGTTGACATGCTCTCTTCCTGTGTGGTGCTGCTGAGTCTCTTTAAAGTGGGAGGCGCAGTATGAGGCTGCTTAGTGTGTATCTGTCTGTTTGTTTTTTTAAATTTATTTTTAACAATGAAAATACTTAGGTTCTGTCTTTCCCAGCATGGAACTTTCTCCCATAGAAACCCCTTATCAACACAGGGCAAAATCTTGAGATCTGGGCAACACATTGCAACTTTTTCCAAGAACACTTTCAAATCTAGTGGCTCTCAGTCCATCAGTAGATTTTTTTTTAAAAGGAGATAATAATAAGGGTATGAAAGAGTTGTTTTTCTCAAGTATTTATATTAATAATGAATATGAGCAGGTGCTTATCCATCATGCATGGCTGGGAATCTGAGATTTTAGTTGTATGAAAAGAAATCTCTACCCGTGGCACTCTACTGTTCGGCAGTATCCAACGCTCTCTCTCTCAATAGTTAAATCTGAAGCATCCTGGACAAATGTTCCCACCTCCCTTATGCCACTGAAAGTTTTATTACAAGCAAATTGAATGACACGAGCTTGTTGTCTTTGCTTAGAGCGATGTCATCATTTGCTGAAAAGGAAAGTTGACTTCATGAGCTGAGACCAGGATGACCTCAACAGCACTGTGACAGCTATAATGACACAGAAGAGAGAAGTCTCTGGAAAATGAGAAGATGGGATATTTGGGCGGTGTCTAAAGGGACACCATGACTGAGGCAACCCTTAAAAAGAAAATGTTGAATTGAGGGCTTACTTATAGTTTCAGAGGTTAGTTCATTATTTTCATGGCAGGGATCATGGTGACTGATGGGTAGACGTGGTGCTGGAGCAGTAGCTGAGAACTGCATCCTGATCTGCAGGCAGAGAGAGACAGGGACTGGAGCAGGCTTGTGCGTTGGAAACCTCATAGCCCACCCCACTAACACACTTCCTACCACAAGGCCACACCTCCCAGTCCTTCTCAAACAGTGCCATACCTTGATGACTAAACATTCAGATGTACGAGCCAAGGGGCCATTCTCAACCAAACCACCACAGGCAGCAATCTAGGAGACACTATGCTCCCTTTGTTCCAGTGGGGTGGCCTGCTTTATTCCTGGGGGGAAATGAACTATTTGAGAATGAAGAGGTGTCAAGCGGTGGTGGCATATAGCTCTGACCCCAGCACTCAGGCTGGGATAGAAGGAATGGCCACCAGTTAGAAGCCAGTCTATTCTATACAGCCAATTCTGGATCAGCAAAAAGCCTATCTAGTGAGCTCCTGTTCAAAAACCAACCCACAGTGGGGCTGGAGAAGAGGCTCACCAATTAAGGGCACTTGCTGTTCTTGCAAAGGATGTGAGTTTGATTTCCAGCACCCACACTGAGTGGCTCATAACTGCCTGCGACTTCAGCTTCAGGGGATCATGACATCCTCTTCTGGCCTTTGAGGGCACACACACACACACACACACACACACACACACACGCGCGCGCGCGCGCAATAATAATAAAAGTAAATCTTTTTTGTTTTGTTTTGTTTTTCTAGACAAGGTTTCTCTGTGTAACCTTGACTGGCCTGAAACTCACTATGTAGACCAGGCTGGTCTTGAACTCAGAGATCCGCCAGCCTCTGCGGGTCAGGATTAAAGATGGGGGCTCTCATGCCTGGTTAAGAATAAATCTTTAAAAAAAAAAAAAGCAAATGAAAGAAAGAATGGAGAGGGGGAGAGGAAAGGATGGAGTAAGGAAGGGGAGGGGGAGAGTTAGGGAGGCAAGGAGGAAGGAAGAGAGGGAACGAGGAAGGAAGGAGAGTGATTGGTAAATTATTTCTTATGTGGCTCATGGAACCCTCCTAAATTCAAAGCTGGAAACTCTACAGTTAAAGATTGTTCTGTGATGGGCCTCTCATCACAGACCACGCCTATCTGTTTGGTCAGCAGATCCTTAAGAACACTCATCAGCTTGGGTCATGTTTAAAAGAAATAAACTGTAATACATATATGTTCAGACACAAGAGAAAATTCTAGGTGCCAGGGAGCTTAAGTTTACTAAAAGGAAGCTTTTGTAAAAGAAGCTGTTTTCCCTGCCCTCTAGGAGTTCCACCCGGACCTAAGACCACTTTAAAGACAGAGCTCTTGTGTGCACATGTGTGTGGTGGTGGTGGGGGGAGCTCCTGCGACACAGAGCTGCTTTGTGAGGAGAGCCTGTGCCTTGGACACCCTCAGCAGCTGTGTGCCCTTAGGTCACTGAGCACCAATCCCCTGCTGAGGAGGAGCCCCAGCAGATAGCCACGCACAATGCCCACAACCAGGCCTGAGCTCACTAATGGCCAGATGTGCTAAAGGCCCAGCAGTGTGGGGATGTACGAATAGGATCCTAGGTTTTTAAAGTTAAATTCAAGGGAGAGGGCTGTGGTACCCACTGCATTTACATCCTGTGACCTCCTTTGTCGGGGACCAGCTCCCACATTTATTTATCCCAGGGACTCTTGAGGAATGAGGGATAAGAGACTTAGGTAGAAATAAAGAGGGGAGAGAAATGGAGAGAAACACAGGATAGCCTCAGGTGGGCCTGGATCCCAGAGATTTATTCCAAAGGGCTATTTATAACAATGCCAAGGGGAGGGGCAAAGGACCTCCCCCTTGCTAGTTTCAGCCAAGTGTAGACCCTTACAAATACCTGGTGCTCGGGGCTGTGGTCCAATCATCCTCTTATGTAGGCCTGCTGGGTATAGCCACCAGGAAACCTAGATGGCTCCAACACTTCTCTCTCTTATTATTGATTCAAGTCTTTCTCCTGAAGAGTGTCCTTGCCCTCAGCCGGCCTCCCTGAACCAAGGAGATAGAATTAGAAATAAGTCAGCAGCTTAAGCTGCATAAGATCACTTCCTATAAACAGGAGCTAGAAGAGACTCTCTGTGACTGGAATGGAGAGCGGGCTTTAGGGGATTTATAGGAAAAAGCCTAAGGAGATGACGTCATCATGCCCAGGAGGGAAGAGTCTGGGAAGTATAAAGACCTAACTCAGAGCTGCAGAGTGCTATAACTCTCTTGCCTGAGTGTTGAAGCCCAATAGCCCTAGGCTCTACACTACCAGGTATCAGAGTTAGGGCAGTGTCACAGATGTTCTTGGCCGGGGATGGCAAACTTCAGTGACTAGAGGGGCCAGGAAGAGACAAGAGTGAGTGAAGACCAATAGAGAAAGGTAACAAGGGACGAGGGGCTATTATAGCAAAGCTGAAGGCACATGCCTTAAGAAGACCACGCAGGGAGCTGGGAAACGTCTGTTAGCAAAGGACTTGCTGGCCAAGCACGAGGACCTGAGTGCAAAACCCAGAAGTCATGTAGAAAACAAAACAACCATAAAGCATAGAGCAGAGCAAACCCAGTTTTCCCGGCTCTGGAGAAGTGGAGGCAGGAGGATTCCTGGAACTTGCTAGCCTAGGCTGCTTGATGAGCGGCAAACAGGTAGGAGACATAGTCTTTTATTATTAGTCATTTATTTTTCTTCTCTCATACATTACATCCTGACCACAGTTTCCACTCCTCCCAGTCCCTCTTCCACCCTCCCATCTCCCCCAGATTCACGCCTCCGTTTTCCTTCAGGAAAGAGCAGGCCTGCCAGGGATATGAACCCAACACGACATAACAACTTACAATGAGACTAGGCACAAACCCTCAAATCAAGGCTGGGCAAGGCAACCCAGTAGGAGGAAAAGGGTCCCAAGAGCAGGCAAAAGAGTCAGAGACAATCCCCACTCCCACTGTTAGGAGTCCCACAAGAACACCAAGGTATATAACCATAACAAACATGCAGAGGACCTAACTCAGACCCATGCAGGCTCTGTAGTTGCTGATTCAGTCTCTGTGAGGTCCTATGAGCCCTGATTGTTCTGTGGGCCATGTTCTCATAGTGTCCTCAAATCCTCTAGATCCTGCAATCCTTCTTCCCCCTTTTCTGTGGGGTTCCCCTGACTCTACCTTGTGTTTGGCTGTGAGTGTGTATCTGCCCTCATCAGTTGCTAGATGATGCCTCTCTGATGACAGTTGGGCTAGGCATCGATCTATGAGTATAGCAGAATATCATTAGCAATCATGTCATTGACTTTTTTTTTCCTTCATTTTGCTAGTCCTGTTTGGTTCTATCCTGGGTCTGTGGGCTATCCTGCCTCTGGTTTCTGATCATCCTGGCAGTGTATGGTAAGGGCTCCCTCATATGGCATGGGCCTCAATTTGGTCCACACATTGTCTGGCCACTCCCACAAGTTCTGCACCACCACCACCCCAGCACATCTACAGGCAGGGCAGACTGTGGGTTGAAGGTTTTGTGGCTGGGTTGATGTCCCAGGCTCACTGCTGGCAGTCTTGCCTGGTCACAGAAGAGGCCACTTCAAGCTCTGTACCCCCATTTCTAGGAGACCTCACTAGGGTCACTCTCACATCTCAGGGAGTTTCCACTGCACTAGGTTTCTACCTAGTCTCCCCAAATGCCCCCAGTACTAGTTGTCTCTCTCAGTGCGCTCTTCCTCTAACCCCCCTCACCTGATCCCATCTGTCTCCATCTTCACCTGTCCAAACCCGCCTGGAAGATCTATTCTAGTTCCTCTTCCCAGGGAGATCCATGTATCCCCCTTGAACTTCCTTTGTTACTTAACCTCTGGGTCTATGGATTGTAACATAATTATCCTTTACTTTACAGCTAATATCCTCTTATAAGTGAGTGCATACCACATTTGTCTTTCTGGGCCTGGGTTACCTCGCTCAGGATGACTTTTTTTTTCTAGTTCCATCCATTTGCCTGCAAATTTCCTGATGTCATTGTTTTTAACAGCTGAGTAATACTCCATTGTGTAAATGTACCACATTTTCTGCTTCCATTCTTTGGTTGAGGGACATCTAGTTTGTTTCCAGGTTCTGGCTATTATGAATAAAGCTGCTTTGAACATAGTTGAGCAAGTGTCCTTGTGGTAGGATGGAATGTCCTTTGGGTATATGCTCAGGAGTGGTATAGCTGGGTCTTGAGGTAGATATATTACTAATTTTCTAAGAAACTGAGATATTGATTTCCAAAGTGGCTGTACAAGTTTGCACTCCCACCAGCAGTGGAGGAGTGTTCTCCTTGCTCCAAATCTTCCCAGCATGAGCTGCCAGTTGTTTTTGATCTTAGTCATTCTGACAGGTGTAAGATGGAATCTCAAGGTAAACAGAGGCTTTTCTGTCCCACCTGGTCCTGTAGCTGCTTTTAAAGTAATCACTCAGAGGCTTAATATTAACTATAAACTATTAGGCCTCTTACCACTTAAATTAATCCATTTCTATTAATCTATGCTTTGCCACGTCTCATGGCTTTACCTGTGCTCTAACACATATTGCTCCTCTGGTGGCTGGCTGGTATCTGCTCCTGGCTCCACCCTCCTTTTCCCTGTATCTCTGCTTGGATTTCCCACTTGGCTCTATCCTGACTTGCTATAGGTCAAAGCAGCTTCTTTATTAACCAATGGTAATAAAACATATCCACAGCATACAGAAAGACCATCCCACAGTATCTCAAAGTAGTTTTGCTTTGCATTTCCCTGATGGCTAAGGATGTTGAACATTTTGTTAAGTGTTTCTCGGTCATTTGAGATTCCTCTGTTGAGAATTCTCTGTTTAAATGTCTACCACATTTTTTAATTGGGTTATTTGGTTTTTGATGTCTAGATTCTTGAGTGTTTAGTCCTATTGATGATGTCCTTTGCCTTACAGGAGCTTTTCAGTCTCATGGTGTCCTATTGATTGACTGTTGATCTTAGTGCCTGCATGATAGGTGTTCTGTCCAGGAAGTTGTCTCCTGGCTATTCCAGTGTGTTCAAGGCTATTCCCCACTTTCTCTTCTATCAGGTTCATAAACAGGTATCTGTTTTATGTTGAAGTTTTTGATCCACTTGGACTTGAGTTATGTGCAGGGTGATAGATAGGGATCTATTTGCATTCTTCCACATGCCGACATCCATTTGACAGACCATTTGTTGAAGATTCTTTCTTTTTTCCATTGTATAACCCTGACTTTGTTATAAAAAAAAAAGTCGTATGCCCATAGGTGTGTAGATTTACATATGGGTCGTCGACTAGATTCCATTGGTCAACTTCTCTGTTTTTATGCCAATACCATGAAGTTCTTACCACTATAGCTCTGTAGTACAGCTTGAAATCAGAGATGGTGATTTCTCTGGATGTTCTTTTATTGTACAGGATTGTGCTGTGGGATGTTCTGTATGTCCTGTGGGAGCCCTTCTTGGGTTCTTTGTGGTGTTACCCAGCAGGTCCGCATAGAGGATGATTAGGAC